CAAATTAGGCTTATACAGACGCTGATAGACAGCTTCCAAAACACATAACAGCAGTATATTTCACCTAGAACATAAACAGTCAAGCTTGGCCGCACCAAACACGACGCAATTCGTATTCAGCACAATCGTTCAATGACATCGTCAAACTAGCTTTGACGCAGGAATCGGCGGCGCGCGCGGCCGTGCAGCTGACCTCTCAGCAGGAAGTGCACAAGGTGAATCATCGGCCAGTGGAATCGCATTCGCAGGCGCAGTCTGGTGTTTCTCGTCAATCTCATCAATCTCGGGAGCAGAGATTGTGCTACCGCTGTGGGTCTACTCAACACTTGGCGGATAAGTGCAAACACAAGGCCACTGAGTGTCGTCACTGCCACAGGAAGGGGCACTTGGAGCGTGTTTGTCGGCAGAAATCCACGTCAGGCGCGTCGGTGCACAATGTTGTGACTGATGACGCAGGTGAGCATGAATCTCTTGATCTTGAGTGCATGCCAATGTTCCACATTTCGGATCAGGGCGAATTGAAGAGCAAATCTGTTCCCTCCTACAAATTGGAAATTGCTGTGAATGATGTTCCTGTTGTAATGGAAATCGACACGGGCAGTGGCATTTCAATCATTTCTGTCCATGATTTTGAGTCACTTGGGGTGTCTCGTACAAATTTAACCAAACCGAGTGTACGTATGACCGGTTTTTCTGGGGCAGAAATCAAATGTATTGGTGAAGGGAAGTTCAATGTCAGCATTGATGGTGTGGAGAAACCAACACTACTCCGTGTGGTGGATAATGGTGGCCCGTCATTGTTGGGCAGGGATATGTTGTCCCAATTCACTCTACCGTGGAAACAGATTGTCAATGTCAATCATGTTCAAATGGATGGTAGGAGGAGAGCTCTCATTGAGGAATTTGAGGAGCTGTTCGATACGACTCAGGTTGGCAAGCTGAGGTCGGCTCAAATCACCCTGAGAGTGGATGATTCTGATCCAATTTTCCACAAGGCGCGTCCCGTACCGTTCTCTATCACGGAGAAGTACGAGGAGGCTTTGGAGAAATTGGAAGCAGAGGGAGTTATTCGCAAAGTTGAGCACTCCAAATGGGCATCGCCTACTGTGCCAGTACTGAAATCGGATGGTAGTATCCGAATTTGTGCTGATTACTCTCGCTCAATCAATGCCAAGTCTGATTTGGAGCACTACCCGCTACCTACTATTGAGGAAATGTTAGCGAAATTGTCGGGGGGGGGGGGGGGAGATAAATTCACCAAATTGGATCTCTCCCAAGCCTATCACCAACTGGAGCTTGATCCAGCTTCTCGGCCGTACACAACAATCTCTACTCACAAGGGGTTGTATGAATACGTGAGATTGCCGTTTGGCATTCACTCGGCAGTGGCAATTTTCCAACGCACAATAGAATCCATATTGGCAGATCTGCCTGGGTGCATCGTCTATGTGGATGACATCCTGATTACTGGGAAGGATGCGGATGAACACCACAACAACCTGATGAGGGTACTATGTCGCCTACAGGAGGTCGGGATGAAGCTTAATCCCAGGAAGTTTCATTTCATGATGGATGAGATTTCCTACCTGGGTCACGTGATTTCTAGTGCTGGTGTGGCTCCCACAGCGGATAAGGTTGAGGCAATGCGGGACGCTAATGCTCCTTCGAATGTTAACGAGCTTCAATCATTCATTGGAACGGCGAATTTCTTGCGACGGTTCATACCTCATTTCGCAACAATAGTGGTACCTCTGTACAATCTGGTGAAGAAATCTGCTGAATGGAAATGGGAGGGAAATGAGCAGAATGCATTTTCTCGAATCAAGGCTGCACTGTGTTCTGGTGAAGTACTCATTCACTATTCCTCGGAGAAAGATCTGATCCTTCAAACGGATGCTTCGGGCATTGGTCTCGGTGCGGTAATAGGGACCTTTCGCACCCCGCGTACGGATACGAAACGAATGCTGATTCGTCACCTGGGTTCGAGGATTCGTCAGAGTCCCTGCGGAGAACTCGTTTTCACGAATGGAAGCCTCTTCATTCGTGGCACGCTCCGAATCCGTCAGGTACACATTTATTTGGGTAGGTACACATGTTTTGCAAGGTACACATTTTTCCCTTGATTCCATGATCCATGCACGTGTGCGTGTAAAAACCCGTACGCCAAGCTACCGGCGCCCGCGGCCGTATTCGTAGTTGCCATGCACATTTGCATGACGACTTGCGAAACCTGAAATCTGTTTTCAACGAAACGATTACGAGCCGAATCAAACTTTCGTTTCGCATTCGTTTCGTAGCAAATGCGAAAGGTCCCTATTGTTTCAGAAGGACGAATCGGGCGAGCTTCGTCCTGTAGCGTACGGGTCTCGAGTTCTCTCGTCGGCGGAGAAGAACTACTCCAATATCGAACGGGAGGCGTTGGCGTTGGTGTTTGGAGTTACCAAATTTCGTCAATATCTGTTGGGACGGACGTTCATGCTGAGAACGGATCATCAGCCATTACTCAAATTGTTCGGCTGCACAGAGAAAGTGCCTACTCTGGTATCTTCGAGGCTGAACAAATGGAAGATGGTTTTGTCGGCATACAACTACTCAATGGAGTACATTCCGGGCAGAAAGAATGTATTTGCGGACTATTTGTCTCGCAAGCCAATGAGTGGGGATCCTACTCGTGATGAAATGGTTGAACAACAGGTGTTGTTTGTTCAAGAAGAATCTGAAATTATCAGGGCTGCTACTGTAGCGGCGGAAACGAAACGGGATGTCGTCCTGAGGAAGGTACTCTATTTCACGATTTATGGTTGGGAGGAAGTGTCAGAGCCAGAGCTCTTTCCTTACTTCGCTTAACGGTGGGAACTGTCATTTGAGGACAACATCCTTTTATGGAATGGAAGGGTGGTCATGCCCGACTCCCTGAGAGTAATCCTACTCAATGACCTACACTCAGAACACTCCGGGGTAGTGAGAAGGAAACGGTTGCCTCGGAGATACGTTTGGTGGCCTAAAATCGACGAAGATATCGAGTCGACGGTCAAGCAGTGTGCCCTATGTCAACTCAATGCCAAGAATCCCCCGAAAGAGTTTGCAACGTGGACATGGCCGGCAAGACCTTAGCAGAGACTGCATCTCGACTTTGCAGGACCCTTTCTCGGCAAAATGTTCCTGGTATTGGTGGATGCTTATGTTGTCTGAGCCCCCGCGACCAGTCAGACAGAGCAACAAATTGTTCGGGTTGATACGGTTTACTTGGCCTCAAACGACGAATAAGGGGACAAAGGAAAGGTGCAGGGCTCAGGAGGACAACGGAAACGATAAGAGTAACAAAAGGGCAGAAAATCACGAGAGAGAGAATATAACGGACCCAACACGAGGAGCTGCGACGACTACAGAAAACGGAAGACCAGGAAAACGGCGCAGGGCCACGAGTTATAACCCAAACGGACCCAGGCACGAACCCAGGCACGGAGCCAGGCACGTACCCAGGCACGGACACGTAATCTTAGCAGTAACCAGGCAAAAAGCGTGCAGACAGCATGCAATCAGCGTGTGAACAGCGTGCAGCTAAACTACGTACAACACTTACTCCAAGTACATTGACGTTATTCCGTCATCCCATGCTATGTCAGCGTCAACAATAATGGCTTTGCAACGCGTGTTTGCTATTTTCGGCCTGCCAAACCATATCGTCACGGATAATGGGTCACAGTTCACAAGCTACGAATTTCAAACGTTCTTGCGGAAGAATGGAATTCATCACACGTGTACCGCTCCTGGCCATCCGGCCACCAATGGAATGGCAGAACGGTACGTGGGGTTTTTCAAGAGCAAAATGAAAATCATGGATGAGGAACCAGGGCAACTTCACTCAAAGTTGCAGAGGTTATTGCTCTCGCATCGTACTACCCCGCAGGCGAATGGAAAAACATCGGCCGAGATGTTGATGGGGCGACAACCTCGCATCAAATATGATCGTTTGAAAATGGAAGGGCGTGGAGGTTTACGAGAACAATATGGAGCACATGCCGGAATTTCAGTGCGGCCAAGCTGTCCTGGCTTTGAATTTCGGCAAAGGAGGAGATAAGTGGGCCCCAGCCGTGGTCACGGCTGTTCTCAGTCCAATGACGAATCAGATACAAGTCGGTGATGCAATGTGGAAACGCCATCGCAACCAGCTCCGTCCTCGGCAAATCCCTCAGTTCGATGCAGGGGTGTCTGAGCAGAGTGGAGCAAGTTTAACAGTTCAGGTTCCGTCACAGCCGTCACTCAGCAACAACGATGCCAGTGTCACGGCAGCGGAGCTAGGCGCGCCGGTCTCAGCAACAACCGGTACTAGTGAGTCTGCGTCGGTTAGCACTTCACGTGCCAGCTACAGCAAGAAGTCGTCACCGCAAGCTGAACGACGGTCAACCCGCGCTACTGTTCGACCAGTTCGTTTCAAGGATTGACGTTCAGAACACACAGTTCATATAGACCTATTCTAGTCTGTGGAGTTTAAATGATATATTTTGGACTCTGCTGGATATTGTATATAATTATATATTTATGGTGTAGATATGGTGTATAGTGTATCATGAAATATTATGTCTCGGCAGTTGTGAGTTTTGAGATTGCATGTTGATATGTTTACTTCGACTTAACTAGTGAGGGGGAAATTGTCATGTCCTGGACATGGCCCATATGTATGTAGTGCGCATGCTCGCACGTGAGCTTGGTCTTTTTCGGAGATGGAGTTTGAGATGTACTGAAATATGTAATGGCCTCGAGTGTGTGTGTGATCGAGCTGGATGAATCCGAGTAGAACCCCCCTGGGGTAGGACACAACAGGTAGATAGGCCTTTTGCGCAAAAAAGAACATGCCCAATATGGCGGCCTCAAATCGAATGCATGCAATGGCAGCTAGCTACGTCAAATCCGTAGTCACTCAACAAACATGATAGAATGATTTTGTAAGCGCAAACATTAATAACACCACAAATGTTCTCCTTTCGTTTTTTGCACAGATCCAGAAACCGTAATGTCAGTCACTGTGAATCCAGCCCCAACTTCTCTGGATGTAACGTGGACTGCTCTGACTAATTTACAGTGGAATGCAGCAGGTACTAGAGAGTACGTCGTTTCATGTACACCACCAGCACTATCAGCAACAACAACAGTACAAGCTACTGATTTTAGCGGTGTTCTACTCCCTGGCAATGTAACTGCAGTGGTTGATGGTCTAACCCATGCTACAATGTACACATGCACTGTTACAGCCCGCGCAAGTTACACAACACCAACCATGAGATTCTTGAGCACGGAGACTGTTGCGGGTAATACCACTGAAGCACGTAAGTACACATGGTGGCCTTTGGTTTGGTACAGGCCATTACAGAATGTTGTGTGTGTGTGTGTGTGTGTGTGTGTGTGTGTGTGTGTTTGTGTGTGTGTTGTGCCCTACAGTACCTCATGCATAATCAGCATCCTCATTCTGTTATAGATAAACATGTTGGTGGCCAGTACTGACGACAGGAACCACTCTCAAACATATCGGGCAGTGTTTTCGAATGTCAGAGAAAGTTGCTCCTCGCGTATACGTTGTGTGCAAGTAGGTGGGTAGGTAAGTAAGTAGGTGTGTGTGTGTGTGCGCGAGTGCGTGCGTGTGTGCGTGCATGCGTACGTGTGTGTGGAAGCAGTCCCTCAAGAGTGGCCGTGTTGCAACCCGGTCCCCATCCCGAAGAAGGGCAACCTTGCTGAATGCTTTATTTGGTGGGGCCTTGCTCTAGTGGAGGTCGCTGCAGCCATGAATCACCGCCGCTTGCAGTCATTGGCCGAGGCCATCCTCCCCGACTCCCAGTGCGGGTATATTAAAGGTTGATCATGCACCGATATGGTTTTCACCGTTCAGCAGGTCGTAGAGAAGCTCTATGAACATCGGTGCAAGGGATTTTTAGTTCGTAGAACTCCGTAAGGCATATGACTCTGTCAGCCGCCAATGCCTGTGGATTATCCTCAAGAAAGCAGGTGTCCCTGAGCGACTCATCAACATCATACTCCCTTTCCACACCAATATGACAGGAACGTTGAAGATGCCGGGAGTTGATGCGCCACCAATCGAGGTGCAGAATGGTCTCCGACAGGGTTGCTGCATGGCACTGATACTCTTTAACCTGTTCATGTGGGCCGTTTTCCAGCGGTGGCATCATGCTGTTGCCCACATTCCTGGCATTGGTGTTCCTGTGGCAACAAACCCTCGGGGCAGTCTTTTATTCAGTCGGAAGTCAACAGACAAGAGCAACGTCCATTGCGAGTGTCAATTTGCGGATGGCTCTGCTCTGCTGGCTACCACTCATTATGGTACACAGCAGGCCCTTGCCCTATTCATACATGTAGCGTCTTCTTTTGGCTTAACAGTCAACCTGGCCAAGACAAAGGTGATGGCTGCTGGATATGGTCTCACGGAAACTGACCGGAAGCCCCTGGATGTTGTGGGTGAGGTGGTCGAATGTGTAGATAGTTTTCGTGCCAGCTAGTTCGGTTGGTGGGTACACTTATGCCTGATTGTGTTGGGTCTGTTGCCAATGGGCTCGGCTACTTGAAGGTGTAATGTTGTGCCTGCCACCTTTGTTGGTTCCAGGATTCATATACTTTCTATTTGAAGTATACATACCTGTTAACCATGGACGGCTTCTGGCTAGATTAACTCTTATGTAATCAATGGTGCTAGTGAAGGCTATATCAGCAGTGGCATGTCCAGGATTTGGCTGGGGGGGGGGGGGGGGGGTTGCGGCCGGGATGGGGTGGGGGTAGATGACATCATGCTCCTGTCCCAGGTCAGCCATTTTGAAAACCGATATCAAAACACGATTCGAATGCCGAGGGCTCAGGCGATCATCCTCGATCTCAAAACATCGTTGTGCAATCTTGAAAGTTGCGGAAAGAAGTCTCAAGACACGTTGAGCGCGTCCCAGCAGGGATCACACTGCACAACAGTATACAGAGTCGGGTCACTGTGTTTCTGTAGCCGTGCATGCTCACTGCTACTCTGTAGTGTGTACAATCAACACCAGCTCGAGCACCGTACTTTTAATGACGACTTTGAGCAGCAAAGCCAAGTTAGCCCACGCATGCACGTGTTTTGTCACGGGTTCGTCACGCGGCACATGAATAATTTTTTTCCGAAAATGGTGGATGAAAAAATAAATCTTGCGTGGCCGCTTTGCCCTGCCTCGTGTCTGCAAAGCAACTTCTTTGTCAACAATTTCTGTCATCCAGTTAGCCAAAGTGACTCAAGGTTGTGTTTTCTCCTTTGTCTCTCCGCCAAGCTGTACAAGAGTATCGGTTGTGCTAGTCTGCGTAGACAAGCGCTGACTCGTGTGAGCTGGAAGCGCTTGAAAATTCACAACTTCAAACAGCGATCGATCGCGCTTGGTTGAAATATTTATTTGCTGCGTGGGTAGATAGAGTAGCTCATGGTCGCGTAGTGAATTTCCTGGACTTCATGAGGCCAAGCAAAAACTACTCGAAGCAGAGGACCAGTTATTTAGGCCTCGACATGGCGAGTGGCGTTGACGCCAACTCAGAAATGGCTGTGATTACCTGTCAAAAAATCTAGCCAAAGAAGTAGACAAGGAGCAGAGGCATTTACATGGACAACGTACGATGGTGGTTTGCAACATGCTACTACTGCTGGAGCGACGTTGAGTGCAGGGACGATCGTTGATCATCTACGTATCAGGTGCGGTTGTCAAACGCTTGTGGCCTTTGATGTGGATATGAAGATTTTATGCCCACTGTGTGTTCGTTATGCACCACATCTGCTGTGCACGTGGCATTACCCTATCTCAGGGAGAAATCATCAACCCAGTCATTCTGGGTAAAACTATTCCTGATAGCTGTGCAGGCCAGCACAAGAACCAGTACGCTGCACTAAACAAGGTGCTTATGTTCGTGTGCTTTAGGGTCAATGGAATGAGTTCAACTGAAAGCAACGGTTCCGCAGGTCTTCGACAAGCTCAGCAAGGTGGTCGGCCCAGCAACAGTGGTGACGGTACTTGGCATAGAAGTCGACAGCGAGGACCAGGTGATGGGCTACCTGACCAGATTTTAATTGCCTTTCTAGCGGCTTTGAGTGAGTAGTCCACGCGCACTAGCTACACAACGCGGGAACTGCTGTCGCTGATCGGAACCTTGTCCTTGCCGCAAAGGTGGTTCCTCCTGGCAGGACCTTCATCCGTCAACTCCTGTATCTTAGCTGGACAACTCTCTCAGTCTCTTCAGTCAGTAGTCAACATCGACACAGAAGCTCACTTGGACATCGAATGGTCGCGCTCCTTTGCCGCAAACTGGAATGGCCAATCCTTCTTCTACGATGTCGAGTGTTCAAAGTCCCCTGACCTTGAGCTATTCACGGATGCCTCTGATGTTGGCTTCTGCGGTTTCTATCAAGGAAAATCGTTTTTGGGGCATTGGGCCGCTGAGATGCAGCATGAACCTACTGACTACTCGCTTCCGAGAACTGGCTTCCACAGCCAACCAATGCCTGGCGCCAACTCCTCCGCTGAACTCGCCGCTCTGATTGCTGCCAGCAATGATCTCATGAGCGACTCAGACCTTTAAGCCCGGTATTTGCGCACACATAATCTGATGTACCCAGTTTCGGCTATGGCCGAGTTCCGGTCCCTGACCGCTACTGCCGGCAGCTCACGACCAGTGTTTGTGTTCGTCGACGGCGGCTACTTCTCCCGAGTTTGCTCGACTAAGATCCTCAACTGCAACCGGGTGAGCTCCCATTCTGTGCGCATTGGCGGGGCCACACTCATGGCTCACCGGAGTACAAGGAGTACAAGTGTCTGTGAAGCAGCCATATACCGTGCAGGCTGCTGGCGAAGTGCAGCATCCGATCACTATGACAGGCGTGCAGCCGGTTTACCCTCTGTGCAATGGCTAGCAGCAAAGACTGGAACAGCCCACGCCCATGTTGTGTTGAGAACAGAAGTGAGGTACATTTGTAGTGTTGTACAGTGTTGTGCCGTCCGCTTGCTGTGCAGTTATTGTGCCGGTGTGGCTCTGTGGGTATCACTTAGGGGTTTGCCATGGTTACTTGTAGGAAGTTATGCTAATGAGCGATGCCGTGAGAAATGCTTGGTCGTAAACACTGGTTTTTGGGAGGGTCAAATGCATTTGCCTCTCAGTGTTGTGCTGTACTGTCTCAGTGTTGTGACACCTGTATGTTGTTGTGTTGTTGACCTGCCGGTTTGAAGCATGGGTGGTCAACTGTGTCTGTTGTATCGGTGTGTTCCCGTTTGAAGTTGCTGGGCCACCATGTGGTTGACCCGCCGGTTTGAGTCATGGTGGTCAACCGTGTATGTATCATTGAAGTTGCAATACGTACATTGCTGTGACTCACCCGATTGCTGTTGCCGGGCACCTACGCATTTATTTGCCTACTTGTGAAGAGATATCTCTTCTGGTTTATTGCATAATTCTTGGCTCAATGTTATCCACGGTGTCGCTCGATGCAAAGTCTCGTAAATATTTATCAGACAAAATTGAAAGAAAAAAACTATGGCAAACCCCACTTCCTTGTATTCTATCTGCTTGGTGTACATGTGTCCACGTTTTGTACGTTTGGCACGCACATGCGTGCGTGTGTATGTGAGAGCGTGTCTGAATAAATGTGCATATTGATGTTTTGTTTGTTTTAAGTTTTATTTTGTGTATGCGTGCATGCATGTGGGTTAATTTTATTTTATTTTTATTTATTTTTACTTTGTTCACATAACCAGCTCGAAAAGAATAAGGAAAGACAATGCTACGGAGACTAGGACAAACTGACAAGTAATGAGCAGGCGCTGTGCCGAGACACAGCAGTGATGGTGGGGCATTGATGCCTCTGCCGACCTGAGGTCTCGGCGTCACGGCCAAAAACACGCATCAGAAACAAAGAAAAAAGAAGAAGATAGAGCTGTACAGGTCAGAAGGCTGCGAAAAACCCAAGGCATAACACGAGCGGGTGTGGGGAAGAAACTATCATAGCATCATACTATTCATAGGGAATCGACTGCCCAGAGCCAGTTTGTGCTGCGAAGATGGCGATTAACGTTCGTTTTGAATGATTGCATTCTCTTGCTGTGGGGAGGCTGGGACAGGAGAGCGGCAGGGAGGGAGTTCCAATCGCTGATGCTGAAGTGTGGGAACGAGCGCTTCAGCGCCAGCGGGGCAGATGCAGGCAGCTGGTGTTGGAGCTGGTGGTCATGGGCACTGACACTACCGTGCTCGCTGCGGGTTCTGGGGTTGGCAGAGGTGATATGGTGCGGTGGCAACACAGAGAGCAGCTGCGTTGGACCAG